ACTTCTTTAAGCGTGTGACGCAGTACTCGCTTGACCGACTGCACCATCCTTTCCCAGACACCACCTGCGGAAGGATTGAAGGGCGCGTTGAACTCCCAGTCGACGCCTCTTTGTGTTAGATCATCCTGCACGCTGACAATCAAAAACTTCGTTGAAGCGTTTGGCTTTATTTTTTGCCCCAACAAAGTTCTTGCCGTTGTCGGACCTTATGCGAACTGGTACTCCGCGCCGATTTATAAAATTGTGGATTGCAATTATACACGAATCTGTGCTTAGATCGTGGGCTAGTTCCAGGTGGACGACTCGAACTGTGGATCAGGTGAATAGCGCCACCCATCTCTTTTCTGTGCTTCGGCGAACTGTTACAGTGAGCGGCCCGAAGTAGTCCAGACCCGTGTAACTGAATGGCCTCACGTATGCGATAAGCCTATCGACTGTCAGAGGCCCCTTTAGTGGCGCGATTGGGGCAGGTGTATTGAGGCGGCACACTTGGCAGCTGGAAATAACGCTTCGTAACAGGCTACGTAGTCGAGGTACCCATTATGTTTGACGTACGGCGCAAATTGTAGCCTCGGTTTTCTGATGGCCCATCAGCTTGTGGTGGTGAGCTACGACCAGCTTGGTGAAAGCGTGCTTAGGCGGCAAAATGATGGGGCGTCTTATACTCATTGGGAGCCAGCTGGCTGCATCAATGCGTCCATAAATAGTACCTTCCTCATCGATATGCGGCGAGAGTTGGCGTAGTGAGCTGTAGCGTGCGACATCTCGCCCTTTTTAAGTTGCTGAATCTCTGGATCAAAATGCTCTTTTGTACTAGACGGCATAAAAATAACTTCGCTGCTTCGACGTCAACTGCTGTCAGCCCATAGCAACGCTCGGCTGAGTTGCGATGGCGGCAAAGACTGATAAAGTGGAGAACCCAAGCTGTCATCCGCACCAGTCTGTTGAATGTGGAAAAGCGTGTGAAATCTATTAGATTATTACTTACGATGATCATGGCATTTAGGTCGGAGCTGCTCGTCGTAATCGTCGTGATGAATGGCGAAGGTTGCATCATTGGGCCAGTACCCTTCTTCTCGGCATAGAAAGCTTGGTCCCTGACTCCAGCGGGCATTCGCCGCGAAATCAACTTCTCTGCTGAAACGCGAGGCCTCGTCGGCTACGTTTTCCGTAGTAGGTATCCACCTCAAGTTCGAGGCGTTTGTGGCGGCCAGTATTTCAGCCACACATTGCTGCACAAACGGCTTGTACCGTCGCTGCTCACTGCGGATCCACTTCAGCACCGTTGTTGATTCGGTCCAAAGAAGACAGTCATTTATGACGGCGGAGTGTTCTCGTCGCACGGATCGTCTGCATTAAACAGGTACCCAAGGCTTCTTGCAGTTCCAGCCGCGGTACCGTGAGCGGTTTCAGAGGAGCACACTTAGTTTTCGCGCAGATGAAGCTGGCACTCACCTCGTTCTGTAGGACGCTCTCCAGTAAGCGACAGCGGCAAAGGCGTCTTCGCTGGCATCAACAGAAATATGGAGCTGCAAATTTTGTAGCTTACCATTGCCGAAGTAGAATCTGGGAACGGCGTACTCAGTGACGGCTGGCAATTGCCCGCGCCATCGTTCTCACACAGTTGCAGCGTTGTCGGGCAGTGGTTCTTCCCAGCGCGTAGTTTGTTTCCACACCTCTCTCATAAGCAACTTAGCGCCGATGATGAAGTGGCTTAGAAAACCTAGCGAAACCGACATGATCACGCTGAGGAGTTCTCGATTGGTTGGGCGCTTAATACCGGTCATTACCTCTGGGTCGACTTTATTAAATTGCAAGTTAAATTTGAACTTGTCTGTTGACGGCTGCCAGTAAAGACCGAGTACCTTCTCGGTCACTAGGCCCGCTTTGCTTGAAATCGGTTTGGTAGCTTCAGCACCACCCAAAGCCGCAACTACCTCTGGCGAATTGGAGGTGAAATTCCGGAGCTCAAATCCGGCGTCCAAGTGGATAGCTCCAACTTCTTTAGCAATGGAGATAGCTTTATCAAGGGTGTGAAGCTATCCACGAAGTCATCCACGTAGTGGTAGTTCAGAATTGCTTGTACTGCTCGGCTTGTGGAGTTATGGCCATGTTCAAGTGCGTTTCGCGTCTTGACGTAGTACGCTGCTCATGGCGGGCAAACAGCACCAAACGTCATGACGCACATCTCGTATACGTTGGGTTGTCCTCAGAGTCACCGTCGCTCCAGAGAAACCGCTGGGCGCATCTGTCTTCAGGCTGCATCACCAACTGGTGAAACATTTCCTTAATGTCACCCGATACGCCAACTGCTCCTTCGCGGAAATGAAAAAGATTCGATGGCAGAGGCCGGTACTCTTGCGGACCCTTTAGCAGCATAGAGTTCAAAGAAACGCCGTTGACCTCGGTCGCGGCGTCAAACACCTTTCGAAGCTTCGGTGGCTTGTTAGGGTTCACCACAGCGAAATGTGGTAAGTACCAGGTGTGAAACGTCACCATCGACGCTTCCGCTGGCTCAAGCTTACGCGCATAACGCTTTTCGATGTATGAATCCATCGTTGCCTTATACACTGCCATCCTTAGTGCCATGGAGTAGCTGTTAGGCAGATGGACGTCGTCTCGCTTCCATATGAGACCTGTTTGGAACCTGCCCCTAACACGACGTGTGACCGAACTCAAGATAGACCTTGCGCGAATGTCTGAGGCGTTTTCGATTGGTGGTGACGGCCGCACCCCGAAACTCTCGAGGGCGAATTAGTTTTCAACCAGCTCATGCAGCGACTCATTCGTCACATTATTGACTAGTAGGCACGAGGGCGTTGTTGACAGGCTTCTGCTGGTTGGCCCAAAACATCACCCAGCCCAGTTCAGTATTGGCGGCAAATGGACCATTTGTCCTCATCCTCAGCGTAGTTGACGGTAAACCCAGGTGGCAGTGATAAAGACCGATGAGGAGTTTTGGCGTCACTCCGGTGTATGGCTGAACCGGCAACTGACACAAGTACTTTTCGTCGCTATGCAAGTCAGCTCTGGATAAACTTTGCGAGGGTGACTGTAGGTTTGGCATCGCATATACGTTCCGAAGCTTGTGCTTTTTCTCCATACCGCGTCCATTTATAAATAAGTCCACCACAACTGAAGGCTCTTGGGCTGACCGTCCACCAACTCATTGTATGCTGAGACGTTGTGGTTGCCCATGCAGACCCAGCTCTTGGGCGAGTGTCTCATCTAGCATTGTGACTGAGGAACCTTCGTCCAGCAGTCCGTATGTATCGACGCGCCTGTTTCTTTCATGCAAAGTGACTGGAAGAATACGAAACAGAATTCTACCTTCAAATGCGTCAGCGGAGCAGCTGATAACAGCGGCTTCTGCGTCGTTCGAAAGCTGGCGTCGGGGTACTCGTTGCGCTGACTGCGCTTGTGCGTCGCTTACGTCGTGACTTGGAGATAGTACTGGCTGCGCGTTGTTGTTGGAGAACTCGTGTAGCAGTTTATGGTGCATTCTACGGCATCCATTGATGGCGCATTGTTTCCGTCGATGACAATCTCGTGTAGCGTGACCAGCGTGAAGGCACGCGAAACATAAGCGTCGTGATTTGGCGTCTCTCCATCGGCCTGCCACTGATGCATTAATGAAGCCTTTGCACTCAAACCCTTTGTGGGCGCCCTGGCATATTGGGCACCTTCGTGTCTGTTGCTTTTTGTCGACGTGCAGGACTCTTCATTGTAAATGGTACAGATCACGTTGGCAAATGAATTTAGCCATTCACTTAAGTGCATCACTGTAGCCCGAGGCTTTACTTTAGCAGCAACCATAGCCCACTCGACTCGCTGGCTTGTTGGTAGTTTGGAAGTAAGCTCATCGAGGAGTGCCGGATTGGAAAGCTGATGCTCACCGTTGGCAGACTGAAAGAAGGCACAAATGTTCCTCAATTTCATGGCAAACGGAATCAGTTTCCTGACTACATTTTCGGAGATAGAGAGGATCTCACGCACTTGGGATAGCTGACTGCGTATAAGTTGCTCCGGCCGACCAAATCTGAATTGCAACTGATCGATGATGCAACTTGCATTGCTGGGGTGAATCTGCAGAGATTTCACCACTTCACGTGCCTCGCCTTTCAGACAGTTCCGTAGCCTCTGGTTATTTTCGAAGTTGCTGTAGCCGTAAGCTGCAGTTGACTTCACGAATGCTGTGTGGAATATGGGCCAGTCTTCGGCCCTTTCACTGAAATCTGGTAAATCAATAATATTTCTTGGCATGATCGAACCGTTTGACATGTACTGCATAATCCCGTGACTTATGTTTGCGGAAACGGGTTGAAATGTCACATTGGATGAGTGGTGAGAGGTTGGCACACTGACGGAAGCGGTTGAAGCATCGTATAGATTACCTGCTATCGACGAGGTGCTGCAAGTGGCCGATGTCCCGTTGGCTGGGCTATGCACAGTAGCTGTACTGGCTGGAAGCGAATAGCGGATGTTGGTCCCGTATTTGCATGTAGAGTTACCGGCTGCACGGATAACGGTTGCGTTAATGGCAACGCGGGCGACCGCTGTGCGGCTACGTCAGCGCATGCAGGGGCGGTACCACCGTTACTCTGAAGCGCCAGTTAGTTGCCCCAGTGGCATTGGGCAATTTTAACACCTCCGGCAGTACCAGGGGCGGCGTCTCTAAATTCCCTGGCTGGGACCATCTTAATAGCTCCGGCAGCAGTGGGAGCGGCGTTGCTAGGTTCCCTGGCTGGGAAATTCTTCGTGGCTCCTAAAGCAGCAGGAGCGGCTTCGCTTGGCTCCATGCCTGGAGTAACCTTAATTGATCCGGCAGCAGTGGGAGCTGTATCGGTACCATCCCTGTATAAGATACTAGCTGCTCCGGCGGTTGCGGGAGCGCCCCTAGCTGGAAACCGCTGGTCGCCGCAGTAACATATGTCTCGGCAGCAGAAGTCTGGTTTACTGCAGTGATGTTCCTTTCACTGGCAGCTGCATCGCCATCGACGTTGGAGTCGCTTTCCGTATTGGAGCAAGTGACTCGGCAAGGAGGATCGCGTGTCATCTTGCAGGCAATTCACGATGACAAGTAAGCACGAATTAAGGCAGATGTTCGACGTGTGGCAAAGTCGCTTGCGAATTGCTGTAGACACTATGCAGGAAACTGCTACTGCTACGAGGGTAGATGCTGTTGTATACGCACAACTCCAAAGATATTTTGCCGATTTACTGCGAAATAAAGATGTTAACCGCCGTTCTCAGTAGATAAAAACGCTTTCGAATTTGAAAGTAACAAATTACAAATTTGAATATGTAATAGAATGATGTTACTAAATACTTAACGCAGTGTCCTTCTTCTTTGCTTGACGACGGGTAACAGATTCCATTGAGTGTGCTTAGCACTGCATCAAGAATGATAGAATACAAGATTGCGACGATTGCAGCAGAATTCGTGAGAGTAATTTTAGCGTGGCGTCATCGTAGAGTTGACAACTGAGAGCGGCGAGAATGAGGGCGACTAGTGATGTGCTGAATTGTCCCCAATACTCGGTACCCAATACTTAAAAAAGATTTCGGTACCCTATACTTCCTTTTCGGTATCCGATACCGATTATTTACATTAAACCCTCGCCATTATATGCATTTCAGGTTTAGAAAAAACTTTCATTACTAATTTATATGATATCGGCTAAAACACTTGAACTTATCGCCACAGAAAAATATTATTTTATCAGTTTTAACCTTAGTCGATCCAAGGTTCAAGAAAAATACTTTGACGGATGAAGAAGCCTTTCAGGGGAGAGATTCTGTAGCCAGTTAGCGACAAGTTTCGGATCGATATCGCACTTGTTGACTTACAAATATTTGATATCAAACGTCGACAAAACCGATACCTATTCGAAAATTGTCGTTAACTGGTTACAGAATCTGTCCCAGGCCTACAAAAATGATATCGTCCGATTCAGCTGGAACAAAAATGCTTCAAACAAGTAAGGGTTTCTCTGTATTATGGCATCGAACCGACATATATACATCTTTCATTTGAATCAGTAAAAATGCTCTATTGGCTCTTACATTCGGGTTTTGTTAGGCGTTTTTTCCATATTTTTGGCCTATGTGCGCTTTTATTCGAAACCTAAATGTTTCGGTACCGAGTATCGAGAGTATTGGGTACTTAAAAGTATTGACTCAGCACATCACTACTGCTGTCTTCTCTACTATGACGTCACCAAAACAGCTGATTCTGTCAAAATCACTGAAAGCCGAGTAGCGGCATCGTCATCCGCGCCACCTCTGTATTCTCTCCACCGTGGCTCTGCATAAACCTATCGTTCTCGGTGCGCAAACGGTTAATTGCAAAGCTCATGCGAATGTGCACATAAAGTCAAAGAAGAATGACGCAGTGCGGTAATTTTATATAAACAAATAGTAAGGATACAAATAAGAAATGTAATAACTGCATCCATGTACTTTGGCTTCATGTTCGTACATATGAATGTACATAGAAATGCGCAGACATATGTACATATGAGCGTTTAAACGTCGACATTATACCGTAGAAAGGGCGTGCTGCGACAATCCCTTTTCGCAAAATTATCATATGTTAGTTTAAAGCATTTCACATTATCGTAATTTACGGCTCATTTGTTATTTATAAGCACATCGTACAGAAATCGAGTAATTTCGCGATGTAAAATCTGTAAAAAAATTAAATAGAAATGAGATAATTTATCATAAATCAAGAACCAAATGAAGAAAAAACATGTTTCTTATTTTTGCTTGGGCCAAGGTTGAAAATTCAATGCTATTGTATTTGGAGCTCTTGGGCCGGTTATCTATACTAATATATATTTTGAAAGCCGTTTTTTTCTGTTCGTAAAGCTCGAGATCGGCTCTACCGATTTTTTTTTTTTGAAATTGCGGTTATAGGTTCTGCATGGGCTTCTCATTGTCTTAGGCAAAGAAAAAAGTTTAAATACTTCCTAAAAATTGAACTGCAGGACTTTGAAAATCCTAAAGAATCTAACATACATGCCCACATAACAGCGCTGCTCAGCGCTGAGAGCGGCCTCTGCTGTTAATTCGTACGGAATATATCGCAAAGCAATCCAGCAAGAACAGTGACGGTCACTTTCCTAGTGACGTGCCCGTCTCGCTGTCCGGCTAAGTTCGGCACATTTTGCTATCACATTCTTAATAGTGAATCAAAAATGCTCCCAGAAGTTTTGTGTACGTGTGGTTTTTCAAACCAAACAGTTTGCCTGCTAGCTCATATGCGAAAAGATTAGCTTGTCTACTTACTCATATTCGAAAGATAGCTTGCAAGAAATAACAATAGGTGGCTCTCCAATCAAAAATTATTACAGGTGTGTTAGTAATATGGTAGACAGACGGTGAAAATTAATTAGAATTAATAAGCATAAATGAAAATTAAAATTTTACCCTTACAGACGGCAGTAATGCGGATAAACCAGCCGCAAGGTCGTGGGTTCGAGTCCCACGGCCAGTAGACTTTTTTATTTCTTTTTCATTCTTTTTTTTATAAGTTATATTTTTTTTTTACGTTGCTTTCAGTTAGTTGTTGTTGACTTTTTAATAAAATTGAACTCTAAAAATTAAAATTAACTAATAGTAAAATAAGAAATGTGATATAAAATAAAGCAAATGAAAACAAAATAAAGTAAAATTTAATATATAAATAAAATAAAATAAAAAAATATAAAATAAATAATAAAAATAAAAAAATTTTCGCAATCGCTCTAACCGAGGATCGAACCTACAGGCTTGTAGCCCGTAACAGGCTAACCTAATATTCACGCACGCCGCCAATTTACTGTCAAAAATTTCTCATGCATATACAACTTGTATGGGACCAACCGAAATTGAACGGCGTGCGTATGAAGCTAACTCAATTTCCAATTTTTGTTCTGCGTGACATTTTGATTTGACGTTTCGCTCCATGAAATCAAATGCAAACGCACGCATGCCAATTTCGGGTGACGCAAAAAAACAAATTCGACGGCGTGCGTACCAAAACGCAAGCCGCGAATATTAGGTTAGCCTGTAAGTCTTACCACTCGGCTACCGCGGATACGGAACTCGCGCGCTTTGTTTGCTTACTTGTACAAAAGACAACAACTGGCCGTTTTTACCAGTGTTGTCATCGAAAATTTCCCGGTCCCGAGCTAATAAAATTTCGTGCATTTGTTCGGCTGCTTATGCTCATTTTAAAGAGGAAAATGCATGAGTTAAAGCAAATAAAGGCTGGTTATGCAAATAATCGAGTCCGTTTGTCTACCGTATAACACAATAAAATTTGCGTTTGTGTTGGAGTTTTGGTCGCGCTTTTTTTGCTGGGAAGGGTTATGTATACATATACATACGTGCTAAAGTTAACGTTAATGTTGATTCTTATGTTAAAAAAAAAACAAATATGTATGTACAGTTCATGGAGAAATAATGTAGGCAATTATGTATGTAGAAACGTTAATGTTGCCACAAGGAGCAACTAACGTTGCTGTTAGCACTTATATTCGCATATGTATGCATATTTATGTATATACATATGGACAATTCTACAGGAAAGTAAACCAGCCCGATTTTTTCTTTCTTTCAAATATTGAACATATTAGTGATTATTGGTATTCACTATATCTGTCAGCTGCTTCTGACACTAATTCTGATCATGTCAAAGCATTTTGTCGAAGGATTTTTCACGAACCTAAAAACAGTTTTAGATACTTCAACACGGAAAAGTACAAAAATATAAGCTTTCCTTGATTTATTTTGGCCGATTAAGTTCTGAACGATAGAAAATAAATTAGTTTAACAGGATACGTTCCAAGTTAGCGAAAAAGTTGTTTAGAACTCCTATTAAGTCGTAATGAAATGTACCGCAAATGTTAAGTGTAACGTAGCCAGTGAAAAACTAAAAAAGTTGTTTATTTGATAATTAAGTACCCTTTCCAAAAGGATATATAACATGTTTTCTTAGTATTGTCGATATCAACTGGTTCCATATGGAAAAAAAGAAATCATAGCTGACTTCGTTGCACAATTACCTAAAAAATATGTGTAACGTGGCCAGTGCTTTTCTTTTTATTAAAAAATTTATTTTATTGACTTGATAACAATTCTCATTTCATTTTAGCAATAAATAATAAGACATATTTAAGAAAGTCTTTTCATGAACAATTACGTATTGAGCATAATACTGCTAAATTTTAACAACTATTCTATTGCAATAAAGCGAAACTAACATTTGTAAAATATCCTTTGAAATCTTTATCTCTTAAGATTTTGACTATATATTTGCCTATAATTCAATTCGATTTTGTGCAACATATAAATCTGATAAGTTATCTGCCCATTATACGTGATTTTTATAGAATCTGATACAAGTCTACACCAGACTATGAAAAGTTTAGAAATCTATTTTTAGTTTGTTAAAAATTGTTTATGTGGGAACTTTTCCATAGAACTGCGATAAATGCATTAACATTTTTTTTTATCTAAGATTAACAAAGTTGTGGAAACCCCCGTATCTGGTTTAAAATTGTCTTGGATGGCATTGGAAAAAAACAATGATTCAGAAAGGATTAAAAAGAAAATGCACAACACGGTACTTGCTTTGATGAGCTTTTGCATATTTTAAGTTGATAAACATAAGTGGTTTTTGTAGTAAAGTTAAATAAATATTATTTGCGGCGATAATACGAAGATTTTCCAGTCAAACATTTTAGTGCAGAATGATTTTTGACCTAGTTAGAATTTTTAAGGATAATCGAGTTTTATTTTTTAATCCTGCAGTAGAAGATCCCAATTTTAGCTCAAACAGTTGTTTATGATGACAGAATAAGAATGCGGAATAAAAATGGATGGGAAAAGCCTTTTGCTTAAACCTTGCCTCAGAGAACCGTACGTGTAACGTGGCCAGTATTTGGTGTAAATTTTATGAGCAAAAATTGTTAAAAAACTAAAATTTACAACAATTGGATATGCAGATGACCACTTGCATTCATTGTAGATGACATACTGAAAAACTAGCTACATTCGTTCACCCCTTTCGCCGAAATTTCAAACTTTCTGGCACAACCNGTAAATTTTATGAGCAAAAATTGTTAAAAAACTAAAATTTACAACAATTGACCACTTGCATTCATTGTAGATGACATACTGAAAAACTAGCTACATTCGTTCACCCCTTTCGCCGAAATTTCAAACTTTCT